AAAAAAACGTGCTAAGCAGCAGTTTAGGAATAAGATGTATGTATGTATGTACATGAATAGATTAGACTCAAAAAAGGAAGAAGGTAAAGTTGAGTATGGAGAAGAAGAAAGGGATAAATAAAGAAATTAAAATAAAAGTAAAGAAACCGAGATATAAACACAAAGAGGAAGGAAAATTTAAATACCTAACCCAATAACAATGGTGGGGTGAATATGTAAATGAAGAAAATAACGGACATATTTAGATCAGGATAAAGGAAAAGATAAAGATGAATAAGAAGATGAAGACCAAGACGAGGAAGAAAATGACGAAGATGAAGATGAAGATGAAGATGAAGATGAAGATGAAGATGAAGATGAAGATGAAGATGAAGATAAGGATAAAGATCATAACCTCTTAACTTAACTTAACTTACCTCAACTCATCTCACATCCGCTTAAAAACTTACTCCACCTGAGCTCACCACACATTAATTCACCACACCCTAACTCCCCACACCTAAATTCACCACACCAAATTCACCACACCTCAACTTTCTCACCACACCTTAACTCTCCACACCTCAACTCACGACACCTAAATCCACCACACCTTAATTCAGCACACCTCAACTTTTTCACCACACCTAAATTCACCACACCGTAACTCCCATACCCAATTCCATCACACCGCAACTCACCACACCCAATTTCACTACATGAACTGATATCACCTGATGTGGCATCAAAGGCAACATCATTCGGCATAAAGTGAACCAAAATAAATAAGATTTGGATAGAGAGGAAGAAAGTGATAGGGATAAAAAGGAAATACAACTGAAGATTGTGCGATGTTATATTTTGGTGTGTCATGCTTCATATGTTATGTTATTTAATCTTATTTTATGGTTTAGTGGTATGCTAAGTGCTAAGGTAAACTCCCCTCCACTTAACCCATTCCAACTAATGTTTTTTCAGCTCATTCAACTCACATAAACAATCCCTAATTTTATCGGTTGAATTTCAACCGCTGGGCGAACACTAGTTTATATAATTTGGCGCTCACAGAGTGGTGTTGTCTCTCTGCTTAGGGGACTTTTATAAGTTAACTCGAATGTTCTACTATCATTCCAACATATTATTTACGTGTCTGCGGCTCATGAAATTTGAAGTGGAACGTGATCAGATTATTTTTGAGTCAAGGTCTGGTATTTTCGAGGTTTTCTTAGACGTTTGAATAAGTTAATTTCATAGGCTTTTTCGCTTGCTTCTTTGGAAGTGTGGCGGGTCCCGAAGGCATAATAAACCCCTGCGGAGGCTTTTAGATAAATAGTTGCTTATCTGAAGACATATGCTCACTACTCATTGATACTGCTGAGCTTGGTGAGTAACTTTGCCACAGAAAAGTTTTGGGAGATTTAAATTGTTTCCATAGCATTTTGCGATATTTTCGATAAATGTTCTGTGGACAAACTATGATGTCATAAATTCAATCTAAATAGCACCTACGCGCAATCACACAAATGCTGCCTGCTCGTATATTAGAATTCCACTAATGGGAACAAAGTAATTAATTTTTCACTCGAATATTACTTTTCGCATATATGAAAATTTATCGATTGAAAGCACTTAACTTACACAGATATGGCATCAAAGCGCTTAGATAATAGCGCCAACAACTCTTAATAATCAATACCGATTTGGCTAGCTAAACTAAAACTCCATTCCATAGCACCATTCAAGTCAAAGCAATTAATGTATAAAGGTGTCTCCTCCGCAGATAACAAAAATTACTCAACTAAATATTTAAAAAAAAACTCCACTTACACGAAAAGAGTTCATTAGCGGCAACGCGTCGGTGGTGGCAGTGTGGCGATGGCGATAGCAATGACGGCAACTACAGCTTTGCTGCTGCCTCAATCAACATTCCAACTGACAATTATTTAGTTGATTTTGGTTTTTGCTTTTCTTCTTAATTTCTAATGGGAGTAATAGCAGCGGCGGCGCGCTTTTTTATGTCGGAAGGTTGATTACGCTGTTGTTGACGTTGACGTGGCTTGTTGTTGGCGGTTTGCTAGTTGGTATTGTTTTTTTTTTTTGCGTGATTGTATGGTTGACGCTTTGGCAATATTTACAAATTGCATATGCGATGGCAAATGTGAGCTTTGAGGTGCAGCCGCCACATAATTGCCGCCACTCGACTTGAGTAAACTAAGCGAACATACAAATAAACAAACACAGATATCTACTATGTGTGTGCAACGGTTCTTTAAAATATGGGCCGATTGAGTGTTGTCCAAGTTTGCCGCTGTTTGATCGCGATAACCAGTGGGCGGGCAAACTGTTTTTTGTATTTGTCAATTAATAAACAATAGCGTACACATTTTTAAAGTAATTAAAATTCAAATTCTTTTATTTTCGTTGCAGTTACGGCTCCAGCTACGACTTGGCAGCACGCCGCAAGAATGCCACACGCGAATCGACGGCCACCCTCAAAGCCTGGCTGAGCGAGCACAAGAAGAATCCCTACCCCACCAAAGGTGAGAAGATAATGTTGGCCATCATTACGAAAATGACGCTGACGCAGGTCTCTACGTGGTTCGCGAACGCACGCCGACGGCTGAAGAAGGAAAATAAAATGACCTGGGAACCAAAGAATAAAACAGACGATGATGATGATGCGATGTTGTCGGATGATGAGAAGGAGAAGGATGCCGACGAGGTTGAGAAACTGAATGGCAGTGGTGGAGTTGGTGACGGTATTGGTGTTGGTGGAGTCTATGGTGGTGGTGGTGGAGGAAGTGCAACGATGGGCGTTGAAATGCGAAAAGGTAAGTGATGAGAGGATGTTTATGGAACAATTCAAAGTGGGGCACGTATTTACACTTTGAAAGTCGGTAAAGTGATAAGAAGAAATGTAATTCAATTGCTAGGATTTGGATCTCTGAGCACTAATCAAGGCCAAAAGTTAGCAAAAACCCTAAACCGTTTTCACCCGAGCACTTGATGCGTAAGGGTAAAAAAATGTGTGCTACTATCCAATAGAAACATTTAATACAAATTTTTCTTAAAAAAATTAGGATCATAGAAAACAGTTTACAGCTCCAAGAAGGAAATTTTTCGCAGAAATCAAAGCAGCCATGCAATCTTAAGCAATCCGATTGCTCTTCATAAACATCTTGTCTATGCCATTTTACTTTGTTTTACTTAAGTGCCTTACCGCCTTACGTCAACTGCAGACACGCGCTTTTGGCAAACCACTCACCCGTTGCCTTTGCACTTTGACGTCTTTCATGGTCACTGGCCGTTGAGTTTGCCTTCTTCCGCTAAGTGTTTAAGCAGCTCAAAGTGGCGTACGAACTCCCCACGGTGCTCTCATGAGGGTTGTTGCCCTTTTGTTTCATTAAATTGGAGAGTGATTCAAAAAATATGCAGCTAGTGGAATAACTTATTTATTTATTTATTTATTAAATGCAAAATAATAAAACAATTATTATTTCACGGCTCTAGTGGAAGAACTTTCAAAGAAATTATCCATTTCGAGTGTCAGTCAATTCAAGAATCGTAGCCACAGCCATGGTCTGCTAAAATACCATGTTGCCACTGGAAGGCACTTCTGCAGACGCTGCAGAGATAAAGAATATCCAGAGACCTTACGGCAACGGCAAGACGAAATTTCTTGGGCTAAGAATTCTTCTGTATTACGGCAAAATGTATTTGTCCAATTACTTATCCCTCCATTTGTAGAAATAAAAATCTCTGATGAGTTATTGTATGCTAAAGCCAGTCTAACCTTTGGGACATATAGTTTAGCTTTGGAGAAAATACCCAATACCCTGATAGCAGGACAGATAATGTCCAGGCGCTGCCACCGTACACACGTACTAGAAAAAATCTACATAGCACCTGAACTGGTTATCCAAGTCAAGATATTGCGTGGTAGTGCCAGTACGGCACGACGAGAGATAACCGTTGTTGAGAGAATCTGTTCAGCGCCAGAAGTAATTATCTCTGATTAATTTCAATATGCTAGAGCTTGTCCAGATTCTAGTGGATGAGAACTTTGTGAAGAAAATCCATTATGCGCCGGAGTAGATTATCTGTAGAAGGGATTTCCATGGTAGAACCTGTTTTGGCACTGCGGGGAAAATCTCAGTTACGGAAATCTAGCCACGCTCTAGATGGAATCAGGGCTTGCTATAGAGTATTTCCGACCAGGCAGTAGTGTAAAAGGTAATGATGGATGATTGTTGCATAGGAGCTCTTCCCCGTTTTCCTGGTTAATCGCCACCGAAGGAGGCCCAAATATGGTTATAGAATACACACAGATTATCCTTAAAATATAAAAACAATTAACACCGCTTTGAATAGCTGTTCCATTCTCCAGATTCTTAGGCTATAGTAGCAGTCTCGAAACCTAATGAAATGGCTCTTCGGAAAGGGTTCAAACAAAAACCTATATTAGGGGTCTCGAAGATGCGTATTGTAGAAGGATATCGAGAGATTATATTAGAGAAATGATAGACGAGCGTGTAAAGGTTTGAAATAAAACTTGTTCGTGCCGAAAAAACCATCCTTGATTCATGTGCTGATTGATCCACATTACATCATCCTATAGCTTCGTAGTCGTGAACGATCTGGTTAGCGACTGTGCCATTTGAGTTTGAAAGGCAATAAAATAGGCTAATGTTGAGCATGGAAACAGGTTAATGGTTGAATCATGGTCCTTTTCCGGACCACAATCAATAAATATCTCCGCGTGTCAGAGCTAATGAAAATTAAATCCTTTTGAAATCTTATAATGGATACCAAAATTATTTTAAGGTCTTAGCGATACGACCACAAGGTAGGGGGTTTATTCGAAGAATTTTTGTCAATGAAAATTTTTTAGAACTTTCTATGAAAGGCGTTGCTTAGA